TAGGTACGGGTCGGACCGGTTGGTTTTCCACTGATGTTCCAGTCCGGTTCCAATGAGTGTGTTTTGGGCGGTTGGTGGAGGTGGTTTTTAGGTATTTTGAAAAAAAAAAATAATGGGCAAAATGAGAGATGGAAACCCATTTGATGAATAACTTTTGAAATTTTAAACATTTGCAAAAAATTAGCCAATCAGTGACGAACAGTGTTCTGACATCACATTTTGGTGTCAGCTGGGGCCGGTTGGAACCACAATGAAGTAGGTACTAAAAAAGTGCCGGTTCCGTGAATCTGGCCTAATGGAAATGGCTTGGAACTGTACCGAACCGTACCGACACTACACTAAGTGACACTAGTGGAAAAGGGGCAATTGTCACTCACCCACAGGGACAGTTCCACTCTGGGGTCTCTCTATCAGCAGCGTGGACAGGGGTGGGTTGTCAATCGGCTTGTCCACGTCCTCTGGAGCCTGGCCCTCTCCCAGAGACCACACTGGTCCGTGAGGAGAAACAAATTCATAACACAGAACTCTCTTCTGTCACTTTGTCCCCCCAAAATAATAATAATACAATGAAGAGTCATGACGCCCACCTTTCACCTTACAGCTGATGTTTCAACAAAGTTTCACAAACACATTTAAACCTTTTCCACACTCTCAGCAGTCACACCTCACACAGCGGCAGAGTTTCAGCTCTTTGCAACATGGAAAGCGTGGCAACAAATGTTAGACTCGTGTGCACAGGGTTTTTTGTAACCTAATATAAAACATTTTGTTTCTTAACTTTTCCTTATTCATTTTTCTAACAGAAAATACAAAATTCAGGGTTTTCTAATAGTCCCGTCATGTTCCACGGGTGAGAAGGACCGGAGGAATTTGGCACAAAGTGCACTAATTTTTTTCCCTTTTACTGTTGCGTTACCTGAGTCTTTTCTCCCCATGGTTGGCACAGGGGCACTATCATCTGAACAAAGAGAGAAATTTACAGCATATTGTAAGAAATAGTACTGTAAAGTCCACTGAAGCAAGCACACACTTGGTGAAACATGAAACCAGCAAGCAGTTAAAGATGTGCAAGCAGTGATGTAGGGAATTCTGAGTCAAACGTCTGAATTAAAGGTCCTCATGGGGTCAATAGTTGTGGATTGATCCTTACAATTAAAATTCCATAATGTTTGATTTCATGASGTGCCAGTTATGTGTACACAATACAAATAATAATAATAATAATTTATGAGCATCCAAAAATTGCAATTAAAAGAAATTATTTATTAATGGGTTAGAAATTACTTTCCGTCTTTTGCAGTTTTGAAAAAAAATTAAGGTCTAAACACACAACATACCTAAATTAAACATGTCTTCAGCATGTTTTCTACATTCAGACACTGGGTAATTTTTAATTATATTAGGCTGCTACTTTGGTCAGAGGAACTGAAACAATGCTGGGGTTTAACGGAGGAACCTTACTAGGCAGGTCAATTGACAATTTCTTGATTGTATTGCCATTTTCTGTGGAAAAAAGCACAGTTACAGTTTAATCAGGAAACATTAAACCACTCTAAATAGTTGAACAAATGATGCATCAAAAGGCTAAAAGAGCTACTTTGTCATTCATTAGCAAATCTAGTTACAATTTACAAACCAATCCACTTTTGATTCTTTTAAAGCCTAAACAAAAGTGAAAAAGTTTGTTTTATTAGAGCCAGTTTGTAATCACAGGGCAAACTGGTGCTTTATTTGGATGCAAAATGTGCAAATGGATTGAATTATTSTTATGTGTTTGGAAAAAGTGTTCATACCCCTTAAAGTTATCCTCATTTTGTCARGTTTCAATAACACACTTTAAAATATTTTACTGTGAATTTTTTTGTGATAGATCAACATAAAGTAGCACAAAATTGTGAAATGAAGATTCCATTTATCCTTCTTTACACCAATACCCCAGACTAAAATTCAGTGCATCTAATTAGTTGTATTAATTACTGGCTGTTCTTGTCCAGGAAATAGAGGGCCAAAYYAAATKGYGGTGGCAACATCATGCTGTGGGGTTGCTTCTCTTCAGCAGAGAMAGGGAAGCTGGTCAGAGTTTATGCTAAGATGGCTGGAGCTAAATATAGGTCCCGGTAGAAAACTTGTTTAGGCAATGACTCGAAACATGCAGGTTTAGGTCAAAGTCTGACCTAAATTTAACTGAGAACCTATGGAAAGGCCYAAAGATTGCTTTCACAGATGTTTTCCATCCAATTTGACTGAGCTTAAGTTTATTTTGCAAAGAAAAATAGTCCGAATAATTGTAGTCTCAAAATAAGAAAAGCTGGTGTAGACATGCCACATAAACGTTACAGCTTCAAAGTTTAAGATTTTTAAAACMAAGTATCATTTTCCTTCCACTTCCTAATTATGAGCTACTCAATGTTCAACATAAAATCGGAGTAAACTATATGTTCAAGGGGCATGAGTACTTCTTCAAAGCATTCTAATCTGTTCTGCAGTTTGTGGAGGTTGTGTAAATCTCATAAAGCAGATGTAGCTTGGATCACATGGTTCCTGAGCCATCATAAGTTTCACCTCCCAGTAAGAGTATTGTGGTTTATGGTGAGGGCTAGATGAGAAAATGGGTAAAGAATTCTGAAGACATCTGATGGCAGCAGATAAAACACAAGTAACATTTGCCTTATTATAGTTCAGTAAAGAGAGAAATCGTCTTTGATCTTGTCTAAATTTGAGTTAAATCATGGTCTTCTGTATATTTTCTTTCAGATATGTTACCTTTTTGTCTATTTGTCACCATTTTGGTTGTTTTCATGGCCATAAGTAAAGCACAGCTTTTGTGGGCTTTTAGATTATTGCTAATTTTCCAAAGTTCAGGACAAAATGTTTCTGTAGTTTTTCAGCAATCCAGGACATGGCAAATCCTAAACACTTGTTTATTTGTTTGTTAGATGAATAAAGACATTTAACATCTTGGCCTAGATGCTGTTCAAAACATGCAGAGTTCCAAGCTGCAGTGAGATTTTCTRTGTATGTGAGCTAAACTCATACAAAATGACTCCCCCTCTACTCACTTCCGAGGGAGTCTTTGGTTGCCTACGTGAAAGATRTTTTGGTCACATTCATAAAACTGACTGGATATTATCTGTTTTATATGTCCAAAATAATAATGCATGGAAAAGAATAATAAAGAGATCATACAAAACCAAGRGCGCTCTGCTGAAAGCCTCGTTTATTGAGCGGCATTCAGACCGAAAACCARGAAGACMATTGAATATAACAGAGCRCTTCGAGGCATGACCCCGCCTACTTCATTATGTCATCAGGAAGGGGGCCTCTACTCTCAAAAGAGTCACGCCTCCAGACAATAATAATACTCTACTCTTATGACGATCAACAATTAGTTATGTGTTGAATTTGTGTTCAGGCATGTACMTACATAAAATCATCAATTCAATCAGAAATAACCACATTATAAAACTGTATTACTGTTCACCTAATAAAAGACTATTCAATGTGTAGTGTCCTTAAAAGTCAGTAGTAAACAACCYCAATAAATTTCTTCAATTGCACTCGGAAGGAGGACAGTAATGTTTGTGTTTTGAGCAGAGAAGACGAAGGTTCGAGAGGGAGGGTGAAAAACCTGTTTACGTCAAATAAAAAAGACCAACTTTAAAATGGGTGATATAACGAAAAGACAAAGCTGTGCACAGCTTAAGATTCACATCAGCGCTGCAAGGTTCTCAACAACAAAAGCACAAGCAATTCTCAACAGCTGATGTGCACACAAARCATGAAAGCAGAATAAATTGTCAAAAATGCGTAAGTTAAGGAAACYGTCAGTAACTTCAGTTCATTTAGATTGAATGTATTTAACAGCAGCTCACAACAACTGTTAACCCAACTGAGATATTTTTTGTAAAAATATCTAGCAAACCAACAGTTTGGACTGAACCTTTATCTCCATTTGGTTATTCTTATATTTTTGCGTGCAGTTAAAAGCCAAGGAGCAACAAAGAGCATATAAATGCGTGACAGACATCAGTCAGCATGAGTGAACCCCAGAGCAGTTTTTTCGTGACAATAAGCTTCAGTCTGTCTGTAAATGTAGGTTTAGATCATGTAAAATTAATGGTTTGATCTGAAGACCTTGAATGGTAAAGCCATGCAGTTTCACTGAAAGAGACATGGGATTGATTCATACTGAAGAAACGTACTTACCAGGTGGTGGGGGAGAGCAAGAGCCTTCGTCTTTTACAGGAGAGTTAGTGGACTCGGCTTGCTCGTTCACCCCAACCCCACTAGGCTCTGGTTGGTTTGAACCATTGTCGCTGAGTTTTGGTTCCTGAGCCACCCCAGCCTGCAGTGGCTCAGGCCCCGAGGGCTCTGGTTTCTTCCCATCAGTCCCCTCTCCTACCGTCTCTGTATAGCAGACAAAGTGCCAAGCTGGGGCAGCAAGGACTGAGCACAAACACAGGCACCCTGACAAGACGATGCTTGTTCAGGGGACGTTTGTATAAATAGCTAAAGACCACAGCAATGTTTACGCTCTACATAATTGTGTCTTTAACAGTTAGTCTGTACAGGTACAATAGATTAAAATTTGCTTTACCAGACTGGGGAAAAACAAAAAGAAGCTAAAGGGCTTTGAGYGCATTCCGTTTGTACTCTGAAATTGTCTTTCAAGTTGGAAAAATCCACTGGAATTATTCTTAAAATTGAAGTTTCATATATGAGGTTTTTCACCTCCCYGACTTCAGAATAAAAGATGATTTCCACACACATAAAGTGTTTATAGATGAAGAAATTAATATTTGTTTGCACTTTKGTCCGTTTGTATTTCATTAAACTGCTGACTAATTTCAGCTTGTGCAACAAATTATTTGCTGGTATTAGCTTGTATTGCTAATAGTACTGTAGCTATAAACCAGGTTAAAGGAGACATATCATGCTTTTAAATACTTCTTTTTTCACATTTAAATCATTCAGTTGGGGTCCATATAAAGTCAAACTGCAATGCTTTGGTTTGAATTCCTTGTTATCGTAGCTTCAAAAGACCCTCTTGTACCCCTTCTGAGGTGCGTCTGATAGCGACTCGCTTTGGTGCTGTCTCTTTAAYGGCTGCATTTAATGGCTAAAAAAATGGATTTTGCATGATATGTCCCCTTTTAACAGTTGGCAAAAACCAGTGGTTTTCCAACTTGCAAGTAAAATGCAGGAAATGGTCRAATGCTCTCAGATCCTAATTCCAACATTTCAGATAAATCAAAAGCAACATATATGAGGGAAAACTACTTTATTTATATCAACKTGAGAGGAAAATAATAGCCAAATTCACCTAATGTAAGTTCATTAAAAAATTATCCCTTTTGGTGCAATCTTTGTCTTAGTATAATTTTAAAACATCGATGTGGTCTTTGCATATATACACTGTACTGTGATCAAGGAGGCAGGGATTTGTGGTCTCAAGTGATCTGTTTGGTTTTATCAATTATTTAGAGTGGTGCATTTTGACTTGAGTCCAGAAAGTTACCCATCTTTCCCAAATCCCTCTTTATATACCTCCTATTGATGACTCAGTATCAGCATTACAGGAAAAAGCCGTTGTTTCAGTGACTAACAGCGCCACGTGCCAAGGCAAGTGCAGAGCAGGGACATTTGTGCGCCGTCAATGAGTTCTTTGGCTGTGTCTAACCTAATTAAGGTTCTGTGCGATCATCCAGTGCAAAGGGAAGTGCAAAGTTCCAGGCCTCTCGGAGTRGATTAAAAACAAAACGTGATGGCACACGACAAAGCAAAACAAGAAACACGTGATGTGAGCGGGATGTGCAGAGATGCATCGCATTCTGGGGACGAGTGAGGGAGGGGGTGGGGGTGAAGGAGGGGGCTCAGGGTTACCCACCTGGTGGGGGAGAAACCTCCAGGGATATCTCAGGTAGGGTTGGGGCACTGTTACTGTCWGGGGCAACCCCTTCTGAACATGTGACAAATATAAATATATATGGATGGATGGTGGATGGAGCAGCTTCATTTAATGAGCATAAAGCTTCAGCATCTTCCAGCCTCTCTCTCGTTCACACACACACACACACACACACACACACACACACACACACACACACACACACACACACACACACACACACACCGCTCTTTGAACACTCACCTTACCTGCAAGTAGCCACACACACTTCAGCACATTTCAAACATATTGAGGAGCATTGTACTGTGAAAGTAACATTTTCAACTTAAAAATGTATTAGTTTGCTTAACAGGAACAACACACACTACTAAACTTGAGCTTTTCTACTTGATAATTATTTAGTTTCTTTGAAATTGTGATTAAATTTTTTTCCACTGAAAACTAATTTTAAAAATTTGGGTTTAGGAAAACAGTTTTTTAGAGTGAAACAATCTGATTAATGCTGTCAGCTTGTTCAATATTTTTATAAGATCGCCAAGGACATCGTAAAGCAGCCAGAATTTTTTACCTGAAATTAGGGCTGCCACGATTAGTCGATTAGTCGATGACTAATCGATAATTAAAATAATCGATGACTAATTTAATAATTTTTTTTTTGTTCTTTACTTTGTTTTTCTCTCCAGACTGCTTTGACACCTTCCACTGCCACATCTACCTTTCTGTCCTTGACACACATGCACAGTAGTGATAACTGGGGTAGGCCGTGGACGTCACAAGACATTATACAGACAGGCTCTGGTATCATGGCTACCCAGCAATGTAGCTTAAAAGTGTGGGATCATTTTAAGAAAATGAAAGAGAAACCTGTGCAATATCTGCAGAGCAGAACTTGCCTTTCACAGCAATTATTTTTAGTTAGCATATAGCTAACATCTAACCATGGCTATATAATAGCARCTGCATTCTGGTGTGATAAGCTGTATGTTTTTTATTCAATTAATGTATGATCCGATTAGTCGACTAATCGAAAAAATAATCGGTGATTAATCGATTATAAAAATAATCGTTTGTGGCAGCCCTACCTGAAATACATCTAATATAGATATAATTAATTTTTCAGCCCCATTTTGGAGCTGAATTTACACCTACCAGCAGCTTCACTGTATTGCCACATCACAGTATCAAATTGCAAAGATTATATATTTTTTAATTATAAGCTGTTTCTTATTATTGTCTGAAAACAAGCAGGAAGTGACAAAATAAATCATGGTTTTATGTTCCTTTCCTTCCTGGTTAACTAAAAAAAAAGTCTACCAGTTGTGCTGTAAAAAATATTTCTTTTTAAGCCTTTCTGACACTAACTGGATTAAGGCCTTAACCTAACTAAATGTGATTTTTATAAGTGTTTTCATCATATAAGTTTTTTTTTTTTAGTAAAAACATAACTCAGATGTGAATAAAACCATTTTTGGTTTCAAACTGATATTACCTGATTGAAATAGATCATAATTATTGAAATAGATCATTGTTGTTAAACTGCATTTTTTTTGAGTAGTTAGAAAAAGAATAAAGCTCCTCAAGCTAGCAAAAAGAAATGATAAAWATGAACTTTTCCCAGGATTATTTTTAGTTGGAGCTCTCTGCGAGCCTCAAGATGCTGCAGCTCCAAGGTCAACCCCTGCGCCTGCTAAAAGCCAGTTCCATGCCAACAACAAGCTCACATGGGAGGGCGTTGTGGGAAGGGGGGGGTGGCGTCAGCTGAATCAACAAAGAGGGATCAGCTGGCGTGCGCGAGGAATGTAAAAGATGCTGACAGCTTTGTCACAGATCGCCCCAAAAAGGCAGCAGCTCGCCCATACTGCTCCTTTCAGCTCCGTGTTGACGCTCCCGCGTGTTCGTGTTCACACTTTTACGCCACATTTTGGAAAGGTCGCACATTTTCAAGTCACCTGTGCCTTCTGTCCATGCGGTTTTCTTTTAACAAGTGTTTCATGTGTAAATTTACGCAGTTTATCATGATGTCAGTTTTTTAACCAAACTCTAGAGGATTGTTCATTATGGTCAGCTCTAATCTGCCAGACTGTGAGGTGACAGGGGGATAAGATGCAAACTCACCTTCTGGCTGACCATTTGTCGTCTCGTCTGCAGAAAGATAAACAAAACAATATCAAACCCGGCAGTAAGACTTCTTGTGGCATGTCTTTAATGCAATCAGAATTATCACCTGTTTGATTTTTCTATTGCAACATGATGACCTGACTTTATTGATATCTGTTTGAAGCAGATTRTCTTTGTGCTGGATGACACTCTCCTCATGCTTAGACATCATGCAGAATTAACTGATTATAAAAGACACCTCCCTGATGCTGCATTTGTTTGCCCTCTGCCTCGTCGAGACTTGTGAAAATGAACGGTGGTTGTGCTTTTGTGAAGCGTATTTGGGTGAATGCATACAGGTTTCAGCAATAATGTTGTTTAATGTTTTGTTTTGTTTTGTACTCATTAAACCTCTCTCTGTCCTTGTGTAAAAAGATGCAAATTAAAAAGTAGTAATCCTTAATGCGGCGGCACAGCCTGCTGATCATTTGGTAGCAAATACTCCAAATTTAATGAAACAGCTACAAAAAATTTGCGGATTTTCATGCAATTTTGAGTCACTAGCTAAATGTAGCACCAAAAGTAAGACAATTTGTGTTTGTTAGATTTTTTCTTTCTTGTATGCTTCTTGGCAATAAATCTTGGGTACATGATTGGCAGCTCCTGGGGATACCAGAAGCTCAAAACAAGAGTCAATAACAACAGCTAAATAAGCTGCTTAGCAGAGAAGATTTAGCAAATTATCCTTGTGCACAACCCACATACTCAGCTCTACTGCTCATCCCACAAATGCGTGTTTTTTTTTTTTACAAATACACACTTTCCAATGGTATAAGATTTATTCCCAGAAGCATTGTTACAACAAAGAAACAACCGGAACAAATGTACTGTCTTTTTGTGCTAAGTATACATTCCGGTAAGCACAGTGCAGTGAGATCCAAATTTGAGGTTAATTAGTTTTGCTTTAATGCTCCAGTGTTTTTCTTGTCATATATAAAAACGACAAATTAGAACTATAATTGCAACACAGTAAACAACTATATTATTGCACAAATCATAAATGAAGAGTTCTGTAATTGTGTATATTTTTTTAGTATAGTTAAAGTCAAGTGGTGTCTTTTTAGGGTATTCAACCTCCAAAAGATAATGTTATATAGGTTGTTATATGATGCTAAATATGTGTATATATATTTATATATATATATAATGAAAGCCGTAAGTGTCCAGACCTGTTTGCAGGTTTGGGTACATTAAATGGAAGAAAGATTAATGTGAATGAAATTGCCTAAACAGAACTTAAAAAGTACAGCTGGAGCAAAATAAGGTTGCAAACATGGTTAGATAATACTTGCAGAATACATTAAATACTAGGGCTGGGTACCACCTAGGACATGGCGATTTGATACGATTTTCAATATAGAGCTCATGATCCAGCATGATTCTCGATACAGTGCATCTTTATTCACCTTCAATATCGATACCATACTTTTTGCTCAATGCCTCTGACTCCACAAAACCAGCAAAATATTAGTAAATGATAATTATAATTATGAAAAACAAAATGTGTCCAAATATCTGCTTTTAAGGATGAAGGTGCTTCCAGAATACTGCTGGCCATTTCACTACTCATGTTTTTCACTTGCAGCTGACTGTTTCTTGATTTGAACGAGGATCATGCATAATTTTACTGCCCCCTAAAGGTTGGGAGGTGCATTGATAATAAAAGAAAGAAAATCGATACAATATCGTTTTTTAAAAATCAATATTTTTATTTTATTTAATAATATAATTACTTTATTCAATTTTATCTATAATTAAATATCGTTGACTTATGATTTATTTTTGTCTTCTCAACAAAACGTAGAGTTTTGCTATGCAGGTTAACAGAAGTAACTGAAATATAGACGCTAATGCACAATCTATTAGATTAGAGCAAAAATAATCATGTAATTTTTGTCCAGACTAACTACCTACATTAACCAGTGTAATCTGAGCCAAGCCTGCCTGTTAACAGAAATAACCTGAAAGCGACACTGAGSTCAGGACAAAGCTATTAGAAGCAGGATCGTTAGGGACAAAGAGGAGTAATGAAAATGTCTTCTTGATTGGGAGCAAACTGAACGTGTGGAAATAATTATTTAGCAACTTGACTAGTTGCTATTTTCTCAGCTTTAAACTGTTTGCATTTACTTGTAATGACTCCCATCGGCTTATCAAAGGTAGCCGGACTCCCACCTCACTTCAAAACAATGTGCTGCTGGCCGCTGGACCACAATCCTGCAGGGTCACATCACCCWCCCGAGCGCGAGCCACGTCCGCTCTCCGCCCTGTCGCCGTTCAGATAATGAGAGTGGAGAAAGGTTTTGTTTTACCTCTGAGGATTTCAGTGCAGCTGACTGGGCGGCAGGTATGTGCAGCTGTTGTCTCTGCTGGCTTGTAGACAGAACGGCTCACCGTGGCTCAAACGAGAGTCAAATTGCCAGCAGCCTCATTATTTCCTTAAATAAACCTTTATGATGCTCTCAAACTACAAAACATTTTTTTTGTTTTATTTTCCTTGATTTCCTTGGTTGATGTGAATGTTSCATGTGAGAGCTGAAGCTTGGTGACAATTAGCTGCTGACAGGCCTCACCTTTTTACAGCAAGTTTGATTTATAGTGTTGTGTTTCACAACACAAAACATTTTCAGAGGGCAGAGTTGCGGGCGAGTGACAGACTGGTGATAATAAATATGATGAGGTGAAGACGCGTGCCTTAATGCCATCAGGAYTCTAAAGTTGTAAACAGCGAGGACAGTCCTGGGGGATCTGTGGGAAGAGGGGGCAGGGGTTTAACGGGGAGGTGCCTGTCCTCTAAGCCRTCCGTCCTGAATGGAAAGTGGCTGGGCGATGGCTGTTTTGGTGCGAGGCACAAACAGAAGAAGAGGAGGAAGAGGAGGGGTTGGGCAGCAGTGGAGGGAGATGGCAGAGAACAAGGCACGRGGATTAAAAGTCTGCTCATTCTGAACTATTCCAGGGACAAGAATCCAATTCCCGAAAGGCCCACACACGACTCCTGAGTCCATCAATTCAACCGTTTTAAGGCTTGAGAGCAGGATGACCAAAACGGCACCCCCTCCCCCCTCTTCTTCAGCTGTTCAGGCTCATTTAAAGAACAATACTTTTCCACTCATTTATCTGCTGGTTTGGACGCTATTTATGGGTAGTGTTTGCAGCAGGCAGGAATCTGCTGTTTCTATTTAGTCATAGCTTTGTCTCTGGGCGGGATCAGGGATGTTTATGGCAGTGGATGAACATCGTAAGGGCACCTGTGCTTCATTCAAGATGCCACGTCGCTTCATAAACATTTTCTAAAGCATTAACGACCCAAAGAGAACGTGAACTAAATTTGTTTCGTGGATAAGGTGGAGTTTACAAATATGTTGCCAATTGACCGTGTGTTGGTGCTGCTTAAAGCTTTACTTTGGTAAAGAAAAGGGAAAAAAAAGCTAAAACCTTTTAATAGAAAGGAAAAAAATATTGCTAGAAGTTGTAATTGTGTCTCCACAAGGTGCAAATGTCTGTGTCTAGAGTCGGGTCCTCAGATGGATATTAAAAACTTGGATCCTCTCATCCAAAGGACAATGTAGTTCCTCTACATGGACATGTCTGAGTGGACAACAGCTGACTTAATGAGGAGCCAAAGTGTAATATCATATTGTAATGACAGACACAAGCAGATTAGAGTATTGATAGACATGATGGTACAAATGAGAGATGTTATGTCCTGAAAGAGAGGTTCAGTGTGAGGGCGGGACAAAGGATCGGTTAAGATGCTGTGTTAGGTTAAAGGTTGGGCCGAGGTTCTGGGCGGGGGAGGAGGATGATCTCTGAGGTCAACAAAGGCTATTCCTGCTTTGCTGCTTCAGTCATCACAAAGGCATTTGGAGGATTTATCCTTGAATGGCTTTGCTTCATTGTAATTGCATCATCCTTCAGAAGATGTTTGCTTATGTCCGGCTCATCGCCATGCCTCTTCATCGTCTCGTCTTTTTCCAGTTGGATGCATCTGTTGTGCATACCCCTCAGACAATAATACCCTCCATCCATAGACCCCCTAGATTCCCTTGCACTCAAGATGGCAGAGACATGCATGGTTCAGTAATACAATGCCACTGTCAAAGTCACTTTGAGGATTCCTGTGTAAAAGCTGGCAGGCAAACCTCAAATTGATGGATCTGCTCCCCTTGGTTGAARACGTTAATATAAATAAAATTTCTAGACATGGAACCATATCACACTTCTCCACTCTTTCATTTAGGCCTTTTTGTGCCTAGTAATCACTTAATTCCATAAACAAAAATCATTGCATCAGATGGTTGGTTCATTATTTTTGCATGCTTTGACRTCACTGCTGACAAAAAATCCTACCTTTTTTAGTTGGCTCTGGCATCTTGAGCCGCTGGCAAAAACAACAACAAAAAACTGTTAGGGAGTCAGGAGGTGCAGTAGATACAGTCAGATGAGTGGGACTTGAAGGTGTTGAAGCCCTCTCAGTCCAAGAGGGACAGATGGATGATAATTACAAGACTGCAGCTGGAAAAACAACTCTTGGATCCCTCGCACCACAGTGAAGGAGGACGCAAGGTTTGGAAATGTTCGAGGGGGAGAAAAGGAGGTCCAGTGACAGATCCAGGGGGGCGACTGGCTTTTAGGGCTTATATTGAGAGGTGGCATGCTCCTCCTCCCTGTGATGAAGCTCTTTGCTACAACTACAGCAGCATCAAATCAATGACTGACTTAAGAAAAAAAAGTGTTTTTTGTGTTTCTGTTTTTTACTTCAATTTGAAAATAATACTGTATGTTCTTTGCAAGAAAATTACATGATTATTTTTGTTCTGTGCATTGTGCATTAGCATCTATATTTTAGTTACTCTTGTTAACCCATATAGCAAAAATTATTATTCCACTTTTTCTCTTGGGGAAATGTGTTTTGGTAACTTTAATCTGATTTTAAGTATTTAAGATTGTCTCCAAAAGCAGTTTAAACAATGTTGGAGACTGAAGGCATTCTTCTTTAAAGCAGGGTTGTCAAACTCTGTTTAACTGAGGGCCACATAAGCATTATGGCCCACCATGATGCTTATGTGGCCCTCAGTGAAAGGGCCACATGAACTTTTTGGCCTTAAAAAAATTGTCGCGATTAACTTCAACGGTTCTTGTTTAACTTACACTAAACACAAAGTGTCAGGTTCCTCCTCTCATTGCCATGGCTGAACACCACTAACAAACTGTAATTGAGCTCTATGCAGTATTGCGTGCACAAAAAAGTGTTTTAATAGGTTGTCTTGCGAACGCTGAAATAGCTGGCAAAAATGCGACAAAGTGGATATTTTACACTGACAGTTTTGCAGGTTACTTTGTGCCCTGTGCACCTCCACCTAGTAGTGGGATACCATCGTTTTGAAAGGGAAACTAATCTAAATGCATTATGGGAGATATGGTTTATGACCAATGCTGGTTTTATAGCAGCATATGCATGTTTTAAGACATATGTCTTTGAAACTCTCGTGGGCCTCATAAAATTAGCGTCAGACCACATTCGGCCCACAGACATTGAGTTTCACATATGTGCTCTTTTTTTTGTTTAACCTTTATTTATCCAGGTAAACTGAGAACCACTTCTCACTTCTCAAAGAAACACAAATCACATGCTGCCTTGCATGCCATGGTTTTAAAGAAAGACCTTTTGCATTCTGTTAGCACTCCAATAGGATGACTCAGCTATGCCAGATCAAATGTTAGTTCAATACTGTATTTTGTTCATTTGTGTGTTTGCTGTGTTTGATTAGATTTGGTGGCCAACTTGAATTGGGTTGGCTTCAATAATAATTTGCACATGTTTCTCCAGTGAAAACTTGGACACTTTTAATAAACTTTGTCCACTGATGTAGAAGACAATTTGCTAAAAGACAAACAGGTAATTACATTATTACCAGGCAGTAATTATAGAAATTATCAGAAAAGCTTACCTGCTGCAGTATTTGTATTTAAATTTTTATTTTTAATTTTGTAATTTTACAAATAAATACATAACTATTTGGACAAGTTTCARTTACATTATAATCAATACAAATTATTTTTTATGTTTGTCAGGAATCTCAAAAATGTCATATTGTACACTTTTGGATAAGTCTTTTGTGTTTCCTGAAAAACTTGAGCGAAAAAATGACAAAACTATTCTAAATTTAGGTTTTAGGTTATTTTGAGTTTTGGCATTGTCACTTTAAGACAAGCTCGCTCGGTAGATGGATGACAAATCAGGAGGGAGTGTCATTGTCACAAGTTGGAGGATGATGTAAGATTCTCCTGCCGTCTTGGAATACTCTCAGACGATAAGTCGACACGCAACATATTCTCAGAGGATTTGTGGATTTATTCTAAGAGAAAAGCTAGATTTGACCAGGGAGTGAGCGATCCGTTCCTGATCCCAGGTATCGATTTAATCTGGAGAGAATGCTGTTCAAGAACAACAGGCTCAGGAACCTGGCAAATAAAGGGTTGGAGGGATGCCTGGTGGGAGGCCTATACTTAGAAACTTGTCATAAACTTTGACATTTGACACATGCATCGCACATGAAGCTGATTTTCATGCAAATTAGGCAACTAAAGTGGCTATTTTTGTCTTTAAAAACTAATAAGCTTTTTTTAGACTCCGGTGTCTTTGTTGACCTTGAGAGGATGAGTAGCATTAAACCCAGGTTGTTTTTATTATGTACTGAGCCTGAAATTTGTGTCCAAGGGGCATCTCTTGCAGAAAATATTGGGGCTTTTAATTAAAGGGACACCCAAATGAAACAATCAGCTTTGTTTCCTGCTTTTCTTGGTAACACACACGAACACTTTGCCCATTTATAACCAGAGGTGGGCTCCAGCTTAGGGAAGGATCACGTGGCTCCTCTACGAGCACAAAACCATTTGGTCTTGCCCGGGACGCCAGTGAGTTGACATCACGAAAGCGGTTTAGACATGAGCTCACAGCAAACGGGCAGAATGTGAGGCAGTGTGAAGGAGAACACTGACACCCTCTGGTTTTTTAAACCCTCACCAACAAGTCGAGGGCACATCGGGCCTTAATGTGACTCATTTTTGGGCAAAGTTTTTGTTTCTTCTAAAATGTGTAACAGAAAATTTCTATTTGAAATATTTCATTTTACAGATCCAAACTCTGACAATTCATCAGATTATGAGTTCATTAAAATATTTTATTTTTAATCATAATTAAATAAGACTACTTGTTTTAGTTATGAAATAAACAATTTAAAGTATGTTTCTGATGACAATGACTGACTTTACCCTTATATATAACAAAAAAAAAAAAAGACTGTAGAAACAAAGTGTTTATTTGTGCCTTAAAAAACTGCAGAGCTGACGATCAGCTCTTACAATCAAAGAATAAATGTAGTGAGACAAAAAAAGTAAATATATAACAAGAAGGAAACAAATACTGTAAATTACAAAAAAAACCACTTGATTTAGCTGCCTTTAGTTTTTAATAAATGGAATATTGKTAATGAATGTAATTCCCAGTAGCAGCTAAACGTTAGTAGTGAGAGTCTCTTTTCTTTATTTTGAAAGGGAAATGTAAAGAATCTAGAAATCTCATCCATAAAACTTCTGCAGGGACATCAGCGTTTCCCGGCCGAACTGGTAGGTGAGCTTTTTCTTCACCTTGAAGATGTGCCCGGTCCGGGCGTAGTTCCTGAGGGCCCGGGACATCTTCTGGTAGGTCATGGGCCTCTTGTTGCCTTTCCTCTGCCCCCACAGCGCCGCCACCTGGTCCTTGTTCCTGGAGGAAAAGCGGAAAACCCCGGCGGCTGCCGGCACCCAGGACAAACAGTGGGCCATGCTCGGATCCTCCAACATCTCAAACAGGAAGTGGAAGAGTCGCAGCTTTCTACCTGCAGGCACTGGGCAAGCTGTCACAAACCATAAAGGGAATTTCAAGAGACACATAAAAGAATATTTATATGAGCCCATGCCAAAGCAGATATTGGTGTTTACAGTTATTCATTTCTTCAACTAGCCATTCCCAGAAAAATCTCTTCAGTGATGGGGGCTCTTCAGTGCAGAGAATAAAGTGACAAACATTGTGGTTATCTGATAGATATGTAAAATAAACTACTGTGCCAAGCCACACTCAGCTTCATTGTGTTTTACAGTAAAGGGCAGGTCTCTTATTTGCTCTCTTGGTCTTATTTCCCTCAGGCTGAAAGCAACGGTGACAATAACAGTATCTAATGACCAGAAAAGGAGAACTCACCTCTCCCCGCTACGGTGGCTGGGTGTTTCGCTGATTGTCTTGTTGATACAAAGTTTGGCAGTGACCCGTGCTCAGACAATGTTGCTGTTGTGTTTTGGCCGGAGGCTGATTGGACACTGTGTGCTAGGCAGGTCTGAAAAGCAGGTTTGCTGTCCTTTTGACGGAGGAGAAATTCAAATAACACCAACAGCATGGTGAGAGTGCTGAAATGCAGCGCGTCTTTCTGCACAAACGTCTCTGCACTTACTGACAGCTCGAGGCAGTTCCAGGGTTGAACACGTGTTTGATTGACAGACACAGATCTCTCATGTACAGGCACACCTGATGGAAAAAGGAGAAGTTATTCAGAAGACTGCATTAAAATACATATTATAATTAGTTTAGTCCTTTTACCATTTTCTGCAGTGTTTTGTCTGTAGTAGTCCTCCAGGAACTCTAAGATCACTTCCAAATCAGACTGAGTCTCCTGAAAGGAATTCTAATAAGATATATAAAAAAGAAATTAGCTTTGAATATTTTTTACATGAGATGTTTGGTGAATTGCAAAGCTGCACGTCTCCTGTTTACCATGATGAGTATTCGCTGCAGTTTAGCTCTTGCTGATTGAACACGACTGAGATGCTCAGGTCCCAGGACTCTTTTTATACCATGCTGCAGGTTCTCTGCAAATGTTTTCTGTTTTTTTCTTTTCTTTTGGGGCTGTCTGGAACAATGACCACCAAGACCACAAAGCCCCAACACCAGTTAACTCATCAACAAAGCCCCCCAGTACTGACCACATCCTCCCCGCTGAGGCAGATAAGACCCAACTGGAGGCAACCTCTGCGCTCATTTCAGGACAAGAAAAAAAAAACTCGCTGGCAAATTTTCCCTCACAGGATGTGTCTGAAGTTTATATTTTGTGTGCCTGTTATATTTCATTCCTGAGCAGACAAATAGTTGAGCAGGTAAAATGTGGTTAAAAAAAAGGAGAGATTTCACAACAAATATAACAATTAATAGTGACTCTTTATTAATACTTAACAAATATATACACAGTTAATACAAAACCACTTAAGAAAATCAAAATGTAATTATCAAGAATGTTTGAGGATAAAAYGACACAGACAATATAAAAAGTGAAATTTTAGGTCTACTAATTTTCATTTGGGTTACAATTTGAGAAAACATTTAATTATAAACATTTTAGTTTAAATTAATGGTAATGTTAAGTTAGATGTAAACATGGTTATTTTAGTCTGAAGATTTACGGTTCTTTTTTTATGTTTGAGCAGCAGTTAAATCGCACGTTGAAGTGATTGTGCTCAGATTTTTCTAAATGTCAGCGGGTTTTTCCAAAGGTCAACATTTTTTAACAGAACAATCAATGTTTTATGATGAAATCCAGAAAGAGTAACCTTCAACTTTAGCAGCTGCACTGTAAAAAATTACTTTCTAATTACAAAAAATATATATACATTTTTAAGTAATTTCATGGTTCTTCGTGGTTAACCAAGTAAGGAAATAACAGTTTATCAGATTTCCTGTGTAGAAATATGTGACACTTTTAAATTTACATCGTTTTTATAATATTTACAGATTATTTACAGGCTTATTTTTTTTTTTTTGCTTATTAGCTAACAGTAAAATAAGTTACATGCAGGAACTCCAGAGACTTTGAGGGCTTTAAACAGTATTAACATGTTTCTGTGGTTGATCAGAGCTTGGTCAAGGTGTGTGAGGAGAAGCCTGAGCCCAGCTCGTAGTCTTCCTGCAGCTGGTACTGTCCGTACCAGCCGTGCCAGTCCGTCGTCGCTGCGCCGCAGTAGCTCTGCTCAGATGCCTTTTCCTGCTGGCCGTGCGCGTCCTCCTGCGCGGGCGGGCAGGGCAGGCGCACGGGCACCTGCGCCGAGCCCAGCCTGTTCAGGATGTCTGGGTTGAACTGGTAGGTGAGCTTGCGGCGCACCTTGACGATCTCGCCCGTGCGGCTGTAGTTCCTCAGGGCCCTCGCCATCTTCTGATAGGTCATGGTCTTGCGGTTGCCCTTGCGCTGGCCCCAGCACTCAGCCAGCTTCTCCTTGTTCTTGGAGATGAAGTGGAAGGTGCCGCTGCCGCTGTCCGTCCACTGTATCGAGTCGCCCATGCTGGGGTCGTTCAGAGCTTCGTGGAGGTATTCGTAAAGCCTGAGCTTCTTACGGCCTGAGCAAACGGAGAGTAATCTCATTTATCATTCAGGTAAACACAYGAAAATCAGGTCTTTTAACAGATTTTTAACATCGTCACCTTTGCTGTTTCTCTGTGGTGGGAGGATGGAGTAGAAATGTGGGGATTCGTTCTGCACCGAGTGGCTCAGGGAGACATCAGGCATGACCTGAGGCCAGGATGGCTGTGTGAAGATTAAAGAATTAACTCTTTTTTTTTTTCCTTTGCATGTGTCGTCAAGCACTAGTCTTCCAAATAAATCTGCTTGTTTGCAGCACTTACAGCTGTGTCGCTCCAGTCGTACGCTGGAGCTGGAATATCGGTTGAATGTGTGACGAGGCAGCAGGAGAACTGACACTGGATCGGCGACTGCTGACTGACCAGGGTCTCGTAATATTTATAATCTGAAAGATACATCAAATATCATCAAATGCACTTAAAATGGGAAAATACCGCACTAGAGATTGAACATACCTTGATCATAGTAAGGATTATGCGAATGCTGCTGAATCACATCCATTGCATCCTGGAGGTGTTGGTTAATATCGTGGTCTAAAGATGCCTGGAGCGGACGGAGAAGTCGAATAAAATGTCACAAAATAAATAAAAAGTTGCATTTAAAGTTGACTTTTATCGAAGTGACTCACCATCTTATATGTCTGAGTGTTTCCCTCACTTGAGGCCATTTCCGCCCTTAACAAGCGACCGCTGCCACTCGTCTGCAGGTGCACATCTTGCACACAGGTGTATATATACATATGACGCAGAGCTTCAACACCTGTCCGCAGGCCGACCACATGGGCTGGCAGAGAGGAGGCCATTTAAATGCGTTAATGTCGCATACTTCTTCTTTCCTGGAAGCAGAGATCAGATCTGAGCATCTCTCGCTCTCATATTGTTAAGATCACAATCTGCAAACAACAAAAGCCCTTTTACTGCATGCTCAAGCCAGGAATACCACCAATTTTCAGCCTGACCCAAATATTTGCATACTGGGCACACAAAATTATCTAGCTTGCACAAAATGATCAGGAGGTGCAGTTAGGCGCTTTAACTTTCTTTTATTGTTTGAGCTTCTGTTTTCTTGCAATACTTGCGTACATTTTTACTTAAAGCTCAGCCTTTTAACTGTGTATAAATACATGTTTTACTAAAGTGTAATTGTGTTTTTTGAATACCCAAATTCTGCAGCTGTGCGGAAGAAAAGTGTTAAATCAACACAAACGCTTTTCAGATTTGCGATGTAATAAAACTTTATTGCAACATTCTGCTCAAAACAGGTTAATGTGTGCTCCACGCAGATTGAGTGCAAATAAAAACGAAGAAAATATACGAGTGCCTAATTTACCTAAATACTGCCAACATGGTTTCATGTAGAGGTGATTGTATAAGTTAATAGTTAATATTGTTGGTGGTGGTGGGGGTGTAGAGTAAAACCAGTTCTTGTGTTTCTTTCTCCAACAAAGCTAGTCCTCCCCTGTTCAAATAAACACAGGTTTGTCCTTTTTTTTTTTTTTGAGAAGTTATTTATCTCAGGGCCGCAGTTTTAAATATCAACTGACGTGTTCCTGAAGTTCCCCTTTCAGCTCGGTAAAAAAAAAGTGTGATGGCAGGCAGGTCTGCGCTCAGAACGTGGGTTAGAACATAAATTACATAATCAGCTTTCCTCACGTGACTCCATGTGGATCTGATGGGATTTATATGAATATATTTTATTGTTTGGACTTTATTAAATGTTTTATTGTGTTTAAAGAAAACCACTGTGTAAGAGAAGATGACCGTATTGTGTGAGTGTGTGTGTAAGCATACAAGCATGCATTTGAGTGTGTGTGTTCTTTATGAATGTGTTTCCTGTCTGTGCAACAAGCTGATAAAAACAAAGAACCACAAACCTTGTCCCCTCTCCCACTCCTTCTTTCCCTGTCTCCATTCATGGTGACGCTCCATAAATTAGAGACCACAAGCTGTCGTCCTGCAGCTGAAGCCTGACAGATGGGTGCTGCTGTTGGCTCTGCGTGGGATGAGTTTACTCCATCAGACTTTTAATTTATCATGCTTTTTAGCAATCTGTTATTACATTTCAGAATTCAAATTTCCTGTTTACCTAGAAATGATTGAAGCTCTTGAACGCAGTCATTCATATTCAATACAATTTTAATGTGTTTTAATTTAAGAAAAGGAGAGTTTGTTTTCTATTATGACCCCTACAGAATGGAAYGACTGAAAGAAAAACATTAAGAATGTGCAAAGCATCCTAAATTTGTTCATAAATGCACAAGAAAATCAGTTAATTTGTTCAACAACAAACCTCAGAATAGTATTGCACTTTTTTGCTGCTGCAATCCGCAATATCATTAAACAAATCAGGAAATCCAAAATGCAGCATATTTTGGGACAGTTTTGTCAGTCCTGATAATGTTGAGTTGCATGTATAAATTATATATGCATTTAAAAATATAAATTTTCATCCAGGACARTGACTGATGAGGGTTTAAAAAAGGACAGATTTTATACTATGATCAAAAAGACAGGATGCTTCATAAAATATTTCAACAAACAGAAAGTAAAACCTGGTCTGCTCTTACAATGTCTAATTTAAAAAATGTGACAATGAAGACAAGTTTGCAAGAAAAAAAAATCACCTGAAACACATGTTGTGATGTATGCAGCAGTGCTTATGCATTTTTGTTACAGTWCAGACTGTCAGTGAACGCACCAGAGAAAGAACTGGATGTGTGATATGTAAAGTGCGCGTCCACATTGAGAATTTACAGTGAACATCATGGGACATACAGTATTATAGTTTGGTGTAACTGTCAGAGTTATGGATCAAAAGATCCAAACAGTAAAGCAACATCAAACTCTGATCAACAAGCGTGCCGACTGCTACAGTTGTCAATGCAGTGTGAGATTCGGTGGATGTCAGGTTATGGCAGTAGGATTTGTCTAGATTTCATGGCATTTTTGCTTAAAACTGAATCTAAACAATCACAAAGTTGGGTTTTCCTGTTAAACCCTACTGGTCTTTTTGTTTGTTTGTTTGTTTGCTTTGTTTTGTTTTTTTAGTTATAACACGGTTTTCTAAATGCTAGAAAGTACTTTTATTGTTGAAAGAGTAAATGTGAACTGAAGTTAGGCTGATAGGATCCAGCCATCTAATCTAAAACCCCTGGCAAAAAGTATGGAATCACAGTCTTGGATGAGCACTCATTCAGGCATTTCATTCTRTAAAACAAACTCAGATCAAAAACATGATACAATAATAAGGTCWTTCCAAATTGCAACTTGTTGGCTTTCAGGAACACTCAAAGAAATGAAGAGAAAACACTGTGGAAGTCAGTGAATGTTACTTTTATTGACCAAGCACAGGGAAAAAAATGGAATCACTCAATTCTGAGGAAAAAAGTATGGAATAACTCAAATTGGAGGTAGAAAATAAGGACACACCCAGTCAATTTCCTTTCCCTAAATGGACACCTGCCTCAGATTAGATCTGCTYGTTAGTCTGCAGTTAAAAACACCTGCAATCATGACACCTTGGAGGGCTRCTGGACGAAGTGGAGTGGCAAGAACCATGGCTCCAACAAGAGAAATGTCTCTTGAAACAAAAGAGAKGATTGTGAAACTTCTAGAAGAAGGTAACTCTTCACACATGGTTGCTAAAGATGTGGGCTGTTCACAGTCAGCTGTATCCAAGGTATGGACCAAATACAAACAGCATGGAATGGTTGTTAAAGCCAAGCGAACTGGTAGACCAAGAAAGACATCAAAGTGTCAAGACAAACAACTTAAGGCCATTTGTCTTGAAAACCGAAAAAGTACAACTAAACAGATGAAGCATAAATGGGAAGAAGCTGGAGTCAATGTATGTGACCGACCTGTAAGAAATGGCCTAAGTGAAATGGGATTTCAATACAGGAAAGCTAAAAGAAAACCATCATTGACACCTAAACAAAAAAGAACAAGACTCAATGGGCTAAGGAGAGGCAGTCATGGACTGTGGATGACTGGATGAAAGTTATCTTCAGTGATGAGTCAAGAATCTGCATTGGACAAGGTGATGATGCTGGAACTTTTGTTTGGTGTTGTTCCAGTGAGATTTATGAAGAGGACTGCCTGAAGACAACCAGATTTCCACAGTCCTTGATGATATGGGGCTGCATGTCAAAGAGGGAGATGACTGTGGTTAATTCTTCTATCAATGCACAAGTTTACATTGACATTTTGGACAGTTTTCTCATCCCTTCAATTGAACAGATGTTTGGAGGTGATGAAATAATTTTCCAAGATGACAATGCATCGTGCCATAGGGTAAAAACAGTGAAGGCATGAAGGCATTCCTTGGAGAAAGGCACATTCAGTCGATGTCATGGCCTGCAAATAGTCCAGATCTCAACCCAACTGAAAACCTGTGGTGGAAATTGAAAAAAAATGGTCCACAAGGAGGCTCTGACCTGCAAAGCTGATTTGGCAACTGCTGTCAAAGAGAGTTGGCACCAAATTGATGAAGAATACTGTTTGACACTCAAGTCCATGCATCAGAGACTGCAAGCCGTTATAAAAGCCAAAGTTGGTGCAACTGAATATCAGTGATGTATTTTGAATGGTCTTTTGTTTTTTCAGAATTCAGTGATTCCATATTTTTTTCCCTGTGCTTTGTCAATAAAAGTAACATTCACTGACTTGCACAATGTTTTCTCTTCATTTCTTTGAGTGTTCCTGAAAGCCAACAAGTTGCACTTTGGAAGGATCTTATTGTATCATGTTTTTGATCGGAGTTTGTTTTACAGAACGAAATGTCTGAATGAGTGCTCATCCAAGACTGTGATTCCATACTTTTGCCAGGGGTTGTATCTGTGCTCTATTCTATTGTATTCTATTCTGATAGATGGTCTTCAAAATACACCATAGATAATATTTGGCCACAGTTGTTAAGTATTAAATTCGGTTGTTTGGAGTGTTGGATCCTGGTAATTTATCTCCAGTGATGGGCAATGGCAAAGCTTCAGCATACCAAGACGTTTTGGATATTATGTTTCTAACTTTGTGGTAACACTTTGGAGAAGTATTCAATCCTGACTTTGCCATTCTGCACAAACATAAAACTCTAAAGATGTGGTTTGATGAGTTTGTTGTGGATGAACTTGACTGGCCCACACGGAGCCTGACCTCAATCCTGCTGAGCATCTTTGAGATGAACTGGAACAGATTGAGTCAGACTTTTTGATCCAACACCAGTATTTGACCTAATATGCTTAGCATAAAAAGTAAGGAAACCTGGGTTTGTTAAATTATGCCTTTGTTGTAACAATGCTTCTTGGCAATAAATCTTACAGCGGGCGCCTGATTAGCAGCACCAGGTGGTAGAAGCTCAAAACAAGTGTCAATAATAACAGGAAAATAAGCTGTTTGACAGAGAAGTTGGGTAATTTTTATTTTGCACAACCCACACACTCAGCTCTACTGCTCATTTCACAAATGCATGTTCCTTACAAATGTGGCATCATTCAAAAGGGAAATGAACAACTGTATAAGATTTATTGCCAAGAAGCAATCAAGAAATAATCTACCAAACACCGATTTGCTCAATTTTTGTGCTAAGTTTAGATACTCTACAGGAAGAATGGAAATGAAACTCCTACAGAAACTCCCCAAAATCTTGTAAAGAAACTTTCTAAGAAAGTTGGGGTCTTTCTGTGTGGAGACTGGATGTTCTCCTCTTGCATGCATGGGTTTTTTCTGGATATTTCAGTTTTCTCTCTCTAATGAAAACATTTTTGTTAAGCAGCTGTTACACAGTGACATACTGTATATCATCAGCATATGCCAAAAACAACGGCAAATGTGTTGGTGAAAGGACCTTTCAATTGAGGTCTTTGAGATACGTCAGAATGTGCATTGCTTCTCGCTCAGTGACATCTGGGACAGGTTGTTCCCCATCATGACCCTAAAGAGGATTAAGCATGTACAGTAAACAACTAAGTGGTTGTAGAGCAATGAAACAACTAAATTAGCCTTAAGAAAAACAGTTTGTTTTACCATGCCTTAAAGCTTTTTTTAATGCAATGGTTTGTACTTTATGTAGGAATCTCCCAATCCCCCTGTCAGACATTTTTAAATGGTCCAGAACGCTGCAGCTCATCTTTTAACTAACATTACCAGACGTGAGCACATCATCCCCGTTTCTTTTTCTCTCTCTCTCTTCTGTTCTATTTTAGAATTCATTTTAAACTTAAGTCTTTTAAGTCACTTTTAAGCTGTGTTTGTGATTGGTAAATTTCAATAAAAATAGTTTGTTAAATGCATAATGATCTAAATAAACTTGCTCATTTAATAATAGTTACACAATACATTACTATTTACTTTTAAAGTTCCCTTGTGTTCTCATTATGGAGAGTATCTGTAAATACACACTTCTGTGTTTGTTTCTTTCTTTTTTAGAGGATTTGGAGTTGGTAAATGAAAAGTGTTGTGTATTCTTGTGTATCTGTGAAGGTAGTTTGTCCTTTCTGAGCTGCAGCTGTATCTCTGCAAACAATGAAGCGCTTTCCTTCCCCTTTTCTCGTTTCAATAGCTGCGTGCATGTTGGCTGCGTTGTGGGAGCGGCGGGCAAACCGCAGCACAGTCAACCCTATTGTTCTTCTTTATTTACTGGCACTCGATGAAAATCAAGAAGTGACAAACCATTCACAGATAATCAGTCTATTTGCCCGAAAGCTGGCGTGACCGCAGAGTTACAGTCATTATCTGTGCAATCCCCGTGTCCTGGATGAGTACACCAGAACAAAAAAAAAAAAACATGGAAGAAGCTTGGTGTTTTTTTCTTTCCATTGTTTCAATCTTGTTTACAGCATTAACATCTTTATAAAAAATTTTGCACTCTTTTCTCTGAGTCTGTAACTGAATATTTGCAAAGGGTTCAAGCTGAATTGGTATTAATTTCAATGTGCTGCTCAGTCACACAGGAGCTGGAAGCAGATTTGGTTATCTGGTTCAGGGTTTTCCAGCTTGAGGTTTTGGATAAATGCTTCTAATAAAACTAACACATTGAGCTGCGTTATCTTTTCCACCAATGCAACATAAACAAATAAATAACCAGCTAAAATAGATTGTTGCATGCCCAGAGGTGGTTGCGCCAGATTTTTAATAATTTACAGCACATCATCTGCCTCGTGCAAAGCTGCTATAAATGTGAAGTGTTACAATGCCAACATTTGGGTCAATCAAATCATTTTCAATCACGTTTTAGGTCTTTGCCTGAAAAACAAAATAGCTTTTACTTCCCCAGGGAACAGGAAAGGTTTTGTAGGCGAGCATGTTTGTGTCACGCATCACATATTTGCAGTGCTATAATTCAGTTCAGAGTTTTGATCCTGAGGATAGTTTTTCTGTATTATGTTGTAAATAACCTCAGATCATCTCATGCAGTATTGTAAGGTTTTGTGAGATGCGATAGTACGCGTTGAAGATGATAATCAGCTACCACCACACAATTTTGCTACAGCCTACAGTGGTGTTCACTCTAGTTGATTAGCTGTGCTATGTATCTTAAATGAGGCTGACTAAAAGTTAATTTTTTGTTGCAAATTCAGTAATTACTTTGAGAATTTCATCAAACTCTGGTTTATGAGATACGAACAAAGGCAAAACCATTATTGAGTTTTGCCTTCAGTAGTAAGCAATAAAAACAAAATATAGTAAGATATATGACTTTAATTGGTATCGTTGTATTGGTCTCTGTTTTTGAAACAATGAGAGTAATATTCACATAATGTTCTAATTGTCACGAATTGTAGAAGTTCTATCCATGAATACAGACCAACTCAAAGAGCTTGAATAAAAACTAAAAAGTTTTTTTATAATTAACACAATATAAAATAAAAAGCTAACAAAGAAGCAAAAAATATGCATAAATGCTGGATGAGGGCGAAACCAGAGTACAGCAGGACTGGGGCTGATGAGAAATAAGGAGCAGGTGTGCGATGAGGCAGGACTGAGCAAAATGACAAAGAGGAACTCAGGAAAACAGAAACTGAACATTAGTTAAAGTAACCAAAGGGGAAAAAAACCAACAGATATAAACAATACCACTCAGAAATAACAACCCAACAACACAGATCCTGACACCAATTGGACATTTTATTTATAAAGTTTCTTTAGCGACTGAACAGAAAACCAAATGGCCATGAGCTCCATCGGGAGATGAGGTAGAACAAAAATGAATCCAGWGAAAAGCTGAACATCCAGAGACAGGAGGGTGAAATAGTTAATTAGTAATAGATTTAAAAAGAGAAACAATCTGGGATTATATTAGAGTTTTTATTTTTTGTAGAAGACCACAGCACCGTAAGCCACCACCCCGACAACAGCCACTAACGCTGCGCTGCCAAACAGCAGCCCAGAGGAGCTCAGAGGTTTGGGTTTTGGTGCACTTTGCTTCTCCTTCGGTGGCGCTGCTTTACCTGAATGTTCCTCAGCTTCCAGAAGGGGGACGTGTGAGAACCCAGCTTGGTCCGGACCTYGTTCTGCTGGCTCTGCAGCTTTAGGGACGAGGATAGAAGGAGGGTGAAGGCCATGAGTGAGGTGAAGCTCCTCGACTTCAGAAGTTGTGGCTGAAGGGACCGGGGTGGACGTTGTGGACGGGGGGTCCAGTTTGACAATAGGCAGAAGAGGCAGAGCCATTGGGGGAACCACATGTCTGAACTCTGATGGCACATGAGGCTCCTCAGCTGACCCCAAGGCCTCCTCAGTTTCTGGAGCCTGGAGCACGCTCAGTACACTGGCCTGCAGCTCCTCGTCTTCCTCTTCCTCCTCCTTTTTCCTCCATTGTTTCTCCTCGGCCTCCTCGAGCATCTCTGCCTCCTCCCGCTCCAGGTGGACCATGTCCGAGTTGGAGGAGTGGTTCTCCTCTCCGGTTAGAACCACCCCGTCGCTGCTGTCGACGCTCTTGGTGTCCTCTGGGTCCACGTCGCCCATCGTGGACCAGGACTCGGCCAAAAGACTCTCGCTCTGCCAGAGTCCAGAGCTCTGTTCCCCGGTGAGAGGCAGAGAGGCAGGGCTGGCTCCTCCATCCCCCCGGTGGGACTCGACTGGGGTCTTTCCCTCCAGAATGAAGACTGGCTGCAGAAGATCAGAGAAGGGGGGGACAAAGTTAGAGTCAAGACCTGAAGAGTTGGGAACCACCCGAGGGTTTAATGTTTGTGCATTGCACAAATTCAAAAGTTMTACCAGCTTCACCTCAAATTATTGTGTGTCTGGGACAATGATCCCAAACACACGTTAGAGCTGGTGATTGGATATAGCAACAAATGTTAAGCTTATGGAAGGTTTCCCAAAGCCTCACGCTCAAACTAACTCATAATACTAACTGTAATCAACCATGCATAAAAGCAGGGTTTGTGCCAGGAAACCAACCCATTTAAATGAACTCTACCAAGAAGAGCGGTCAATTATTCAACCAGATTCATGTGAAAAGTTTAATGAATACAAACCGCCTGTGGTCAAAGTGTACCTCGCTAAGTGACATTTAACCAAATATTAGTGGTGTGTTTGTATAATTTGAATCCACAAATTTTAATTGTGCTCGTAATTCTTGTTTTTAAAAATCCCTACAWGTAAAATGTTCAGTTTTCAGCTTCTCATGCACATTTTACTTTTTCTGTTCTGTTTAGCTCTGCCATAAATGTGCAAACAAATTAAATAATAAAAAAAGACCAAGTTAAAGTGATTGATATTGTGCAACATGAATATTTTACCTGATTTAGTCACGTCGTCACTGACAGCATCTGCCACTGGAACAAATTGCTCACTGGCTCCTCTGTCTAGACTATCTTTAGCCTCCACTTCTTGCATATCTTTCTATGTTTAGGTGCTGCATATATTTCCATCTGTCAACCAAGAATGGAAGCTTGTGGGCTTCTAAAAGAGCTGGGTCATAACATGGAATTATTAAATCACAATGACGTGGCTCCYCCCATCTTTCATTCTGTAAAAACACAAACTTTCAATCTGCAAAGAACTCTTAAAAGTCCACTTTTCTAATCCTGGATGTAACAGTGAACTGTTTATGTGAATCCTCAAACATACCTTCTGGTCACATTGTGCTTTGACCACAGTAACCCTTCACCCTGATGCCAATCCCAGAATAGATTTTTGTAACGCTCGCTCTTCACTTTCTAATGTTGTCAAATTCACAGCACGCAGCTCATCAGAGTTCTTTATGGTTTTAGATTTTGTTTCTTGGAGACGTTTTATCTTCTGACAAACTGTAAACGGTGAAATTAAACACAGCAGAGAAAAAGTTGGACAAATACTGGAAAATGCAATAAATGGTGGCTGCAGAGTTTAAAATGCAGCGGAGATTCATTGGGTTTGAGAAAACCAAGGTTGAGAAGAACAGACTTTTGTTGTCATTGCACCAGAGTGCAACAAAATTTGGGTTTTTCTTACCAGAGTGAAAAGTTATCTTGGATTTTAATGAAACACAGAAAATAATCTGAACATACAGTGGGGAAAATAAGTATTTAGTCAGTCACCAATTGTGCAAGTTCTCCCACTTAAAAAGATGAGAGAGGCCTGTAATYGACATCATAGGTAGACCTCAACTATGAGAGACAAAATGTGAAAAAAWWWTKRRRAAAWYMWTTT